CCAACTCCTGGGCTCAAGTGATTCTCCTGCCTCCGCCTCCCAAGTAGCTAGACTACAGGCGCCCGCCACAACACCCAGCTATTTTTTGGTTGCAGCCACCATTGTTGTTTGGCCGGCCGGGCTGGATTCGAACCTGCCAGCTCAGGTGTGTGTGGCTGGTGCCTTCACCCCCTGAGCCACAGGCGCTGAGCCTCGTTATTTATTCTATTTTGACCTAAACCTCAGTTTTCTTTTTTCTTATTAAAAACTAAATTTAAAAAAAAAGGAAAAAACAATAAAGAAGGTACAAACAATACTGCTGGAAATTACTAACACTCAGTATATCTATTTGGCAAACTAAAACTATTAAATCACACACTTCAATTTAGAAGCTGTAACTGAGTCTTACTTGTTTTTCCTGGCATTGAAGATGTATTAGCTTTTGAAATAAAAGTCTTTGTGGCTGAAGAAGTAGATGGCTGCTCAGGGATAACTGGATCTACAACCATTCGGTTGCTTCTTGTTCGAACCACAGAACTGGATTCTGTTTTACCATTGATCTGAGCAGCATTATGCCTTGGTGGTATTGATCGTGTATGTATGGAGAATGGAGAGGTAGAGATTTCTGACTTTAGCTGAGGTTTTAAGATCCTTTTTTTCCTTTCAGGACTGTAAATAAAATAATAATGTTAGTGACTTTTATAACTCGTATGTGTATGAATAAAACACAGCTTTACAATACTGTTGGATTCCATATTTGTACTATTTATTATGAAATATGTTAAAATATGAGATTTGTAGTGGATTTCATATGGTTGTGAGCCTTTGAAAGTGAATATTTAGTGAAGGATTTCTGTAAATGCTAAAGTTATATGACGGAAAGCATGATGCCATCACTATCCTAAAAATGCTGTTTTACTGTATAGATTTAGCAGTTGGAATTTAAGCACTTACACTAGTAAAGCTTTAGTTAAAAGATTAAAAATCCTCCACATCATAGGAACTTGCATGTCAAATATATCTTTCTGCAATATAGGGAATAGTAAAGGAAGTATTAAAAAAACACCAAGTTCTATTACTTAGATGAAAGTTACAGATTGGTTAAAGGTATTTAAGAAATTAAATACCTTGATGCAGCACTGCTAGAAACAGAGCTGCTTCTGTTCCTTTTCTTCCTCCTTTTGGTTATGGTATTTCTTTTATGAAAACGAAGAGCAGATTTATAATCTGATAAAACTGAACTAATGTGTTCTTCAAAGAAAGCAGACAGGCGCAAACTCATGCTGTATATCTATTAAAAGAAAAAAACCCACAACATTGCGTTTAAGCTCTCCTTAAAGGAAAATACCAGACTAGTAAATATTGTAACTTAAACATGTTTCTAGTAAAATGTTTTTGAATTTAAATATTGCTTTTTAATATTCCTTTTTCCCAATCTCTTCTGATGAAAGAATAAAGATTTTTACAATTAAATTATTTTTGTACTTAGCAGAGTAATAATGAGATTCTTAAATGTCTGACCCTAAATTCAGACGGTCCACATAAGACATTACTCACTGCTGTGATCTCGACTAGACAGACACCATCCCAGATGGCTTGACCCTGTTTTCCATTGCTAACCAGGTTCAGTATCTATTCTTTGTCATTTCACTTCCATCTATCACTCTCTTGTGATGTTGTGACTGGCCAAAGAGAGGCAAATGATATTTATACTTATTATTTTTACTTACTAATTCACAAAAGTGCTTCTCTCCATAAACATTGAAAATAGCTGGAAAAGTTAAGCTCAGACTGCTCTAGTACATACCAGGACAATTCACGTATGGTATTTATTCAACCATACTACTTCAAGAAAAGCAACCATTTCTAAACATCAAAAAATGACATCGATGTTATTTTATAGGAGCTGAGTAGAAAGGTGTACATTATTTTTTCTAAGACACCATGAAGAACATAACAGAAAGTAGAAAGTTAATTATGATCTAAATTTTAAATAAAAGCAACATTTAGCTATCACATAAAATTCAACACTAATTTAATTAAATTATAAAAGAAAACAGTTTAAGTACATACCCTAGATCTTTTGCTTGGTGTATATGCTTTAGAATTACTAAAAATAAGTCTGACATCTTTACATAACTCCATTGGTGACTCATAATTCCCAGCCTCTAAAGTTTCTCTAACAGTGGCAAAATCCATTGGAGTATCAATGATGTCTCTGTAGTCCTAGGACAGGGAAAACAGGTGGTATTATTACCACAAAGCATTACGTCTCAGCACAGGAACTCATAGAGTTTTTATGACCAATTTAATAGACTTGATCTATTGATATTTATTTCCCTTTTAAAAAATATTTTATTTATTTCATGTTCTCTCTTTTTTATTGCAATCAACACAGGACTTTTCTCATTGAAGATCATACTATTAATAGTCATCTTTTTGTTGGGAGTTGGGGAGGGTAGAGTTGTTATGGAATGGGAGGATTAAAAGAGTAATGAAGCTCAGCTCTACAACTAAAATAAAAATTTCACATGAAATACCCACATTTATACCACCCATAAGTCTTAAAAGTTGATGACTCATTGAAACACAACTGGAACTTAATTTAAAATAAAAAATAAGAACAATGGAAGTATGCCAACATCCCTTTTATGTGGAAGCCTGAATTCTAGTAACCTCAACTTCAGTATTACAACTGAGAGCTTTGCAATAACCAAGAATGCTGAATGTAAACAGCTTCACTCACACAAGAGAGAGAGGAGAACCACCCAAGGTCTGTCCATCTAGTCAACTGAGTGTAAAATAAAGACAACAGATCAAAGGCAATGAACACAGACAAGTGAAAGCAGAGAACCAACTGAAAATTATCAGAATATGGTACAAAATTATCAGAGTACTATACCTTTTCAATAATCTCTTCAGTGTGTAACTACGTTTTTTGAAGTTTAACAACTTGACTTTGCACCATCATGTTTAAATATCAAATGTTTGACCATAAAGAAGGTACAGTGTAAAACAGGATTAGTGCACCTTTATAAATTTTTATGTCTGCCTGGTCAACATGTATGCTTTTTATTCTCTTTTCTTGCATTATTGCATTAGCTGGAATTTTTGAATACTAATTGTGAGAATGGACATTCCTGCCTCATTTCCGTCTGAGGAAGAAAGCACTTAGTTGTCTTCATCAAGTTAGGGGTAGACTTTAAAAAAAAAAAAAAAAAAGATATTCCCTATCAAATTGTGGAAATTCCCCTTCTTTATTTTCTTAGAGTCTTTATCACGAATGATGTCTGCCCCAGCTTCCATATTTGTCCTTTGGCACCTGTCGATTGCAGAGCCAATGATACTCTGCTCATTTGGGGCCTTAGGCAGAGCCAATGGTACTCTGCTCATTTGGGGCCTTAGGCAGAGCCAATGATACTCTGCTCATTTGGGGCCTGTCCCTCTGGCCTTGTGTGACAAGTGATGACCTTCTCCCTGGGAGCTGTGAGTATAATAAACGTCTCTCTTCCAAGCTCTGTCCTCATTGCCCTCTGGGGCTGCACTAACATTACCACATCTAAAATGTACTCTCTCAGAACAAATGGGTGTGAAAAAGCTAAATGTTTTTCTATATTAATTAATATGATGTAATTCTTCTTTAGTTTGTCAGTATGATAAATTACATTGATTGGTTTTTGAAAACCGCCCCAGCCTGGTATCTCTGCAATAAAGGCTACTTGGTCATGGTATATAATCATTTTTATATATGCCTGAATTCTGTTTGCTGTTCTTTGGCTAATAACTTTTACATTTTCTTCTTTTTTACTGTTTTTGTCTGGTTTTAATATCAGGACTATACTGGATTCAGAAAATGAGTTGAGAAATATTCCCCTTTCTTTCTGAAAGAGACTGTATAGAATTTAGGTTAATTCTTCTTTGAATATTTGATAGAATTCTCCAGTGAAGCCACCTGGGTCTGAGAGTTCTTAAAAGCTTTTAATGAGAAGTCACATCTCCGTAATAGTTACAGGGATGCTTAGGTCCTCTACTTCCTACTGAGTGGGGTAGTTTATTCTTTGAGTCCTGGCCCACTCCATCAAAGTCACCACATTTGTATGTGGGGAGCTCTTTGTAGCATTCCCTTATTCCCTGTCTTTTCTTTGTTCACCACTGTAAATCCTGGTATGAGTTTTGTCAATTTTATTGATCTTTTAAAAACAAAACAAAAAAAAAAAATGCAGCTTTTCGTTTAGTGGTTTTTCTTTATTGTATTTCCATTTTGAGTTTCACTGAATTTGGCTCTCGATTATTTCATCGCTTTTACTTATGACTTTTTCATTCTTGGGTTTCTCTTTAGGGTTTCCCTGCATTACTTTAACTGTACCCCACAAATTTTGATCTGTATTCATTTTCATTGACTTAAGTGTATTCTTTTATTTCCAGAAGCCTCGTCTGGTCCATGGAATACTTAAGTGTGTTACTCAGTTAAGTGCTCAGAGATTTTACTGTCATTTTTCTATTACTGATTTCTAGTTTGATTTCATTGTGGCTACAAACACTATGATTTTAGTGAAGTGTCATTTTATTTTTTACTCCGTTTGTTCTGCTTTTTACTTTTTCCAGTCTTCTCTTCTTGTGGGTTACTTGAACAGTTTTTAGAATTCCAAACTGACTTATCTATAGTGTTTGTAACTATGTTTCTTTGTACAGTTTTGGGAGTGGTTATTCTATGTATTTAATAATAGGTACATAATTGTCGATCTAACAGTGTCAGCATTTTACCAGTTCAAGTGAAGTATAGTTACCTCCACTTATGACCCCTGACCTCCCCAACACATATTTCCTCTATATACATAGTTCACACCAGAGTGTTGTAATTTTTGCTTCAATAAATGTAATTCTGAAAAAGATAACTGAAGGAAAAAGTGTAACACTTTACTGGTTCAAGTATATAAATTTTTCTTCCCTTATTTTTTAAATTAAGTTCACTGATTCCTCTGTTCTCACCAATGAATTTGCTCTTCTATTCCCATTTATTCCTTCTATTTCTTTATTGAGACTTCATATTTTCTTTTGTTCCAATATGTTTTTAACTACTCAAGTGCTTTTATGAAGCTATCTTAAAATCCTTGTTACATCATTCTAACATCTGTATTATCTTGGTTGTTGGCATGGTGGGCTGGGGGTGGCACTACCTTAGTTACTCTAGGTCAGGCGTCCTCAAACTGTGGCCCACCAAGGACATTAATCCGGCCCGCCGAGTGTTTCTGCCACTGCTGCCTGTCCTGCTTAGCAGCTGACTCGTCCTGCGGCCCACAGTCCGGCCCTCTGACGGTCTGAGGTTTAAAAAGTTTGGGGACTCCTGCTCCAAGTGTTGCTGGGTGGAAGTCCAGCTAGCCTCCTGATACCCAAGGAATGGGAGAACCTCCTTGTTACTGTTGGGAACAAATTTCTCCTTTGCAAATGCCCTAGGCCTCAACTGCCTTGATACTGCTCTCAAGTGATACTGCTTCCAGTGATACCCCACATAGTGGCTTTATTATTCCTGACTGGAGGTCTACGACCTAACTCTCCACTAGGCCTCCACTGATACCACCCTAGTGAGGGTGGAAGAGAGGGTGAGGGGAAGGGTGAATGAAAGCTAAGGATCACCTGCTGGTTTCTACTGATACCTGAGGTTAGTGAGGGTGGGTCTCCACTAGCGTTTGTTGGTGGGAAAGTGGTAGGCTGCAGCTTTTTCTATGGTATTTAATTGGAGTAAGAGCAGTTATTGTCTAAGATTTCTGTGTTGCTAGTCTATCCCTTTCCCGGTCCTCTGGCTAGAGAGAGGCTTTTCTTTTTTTTATTTTATTTTATTTTATTTTTTTGAGACAGAGCCTCAAGCTGTCCCCCTGGGTAGAGTGCCGTGGCATTACAGCTCACAGCAACCTCCAACTCCTGGGCTCAAGCGAGTCTCCTGCCTCCGCCTCCCAAGTAGCTGGGATCACAGGCGCCCGCCACAACGCCCGGCTATTTTTTGGTTGCAGCTGTCATTGTTGTTTGGCGGGTCCGGGCTGGGGATTTGAACCCGCCACCTTAGGTGTACGTGGCTGGCGCCTTAGCCGGTTGAGCTATAGGCGCCAAGCCGAGAGAGGCTTTTCTTAATTTTTGTTGTTGCTGTTGTTGTTGGGGTGTGTGTCAGTGCTCACTGTTATTTCTAGGTCGATGCCTTCTCCAGTATATAAGGTCCACACATTTTAGTTCGACTTAATAGGAGGAATGAGGAAAAGTACATCTACTCCACTTTACCCCAGAAAGTCCAATTGTACCAACTTTAATCATTTTTTTTAAAAGTCTTACCTGTAAGTAACATCAGAGCCACTTTATAAAACCACATTAACAAAAATCACACTTAGTACCTTTGAGGAGTATTTTGATTTTGTCAAAGCCAGGGTATTATGTATAGTTCAGTCTACCTTAAGTACCAAACCTGGTCTAAATGACTCTGCCATTTATAGAAATTAAATTTACCATTAGTGTAAGACTATCATTTTTAAAAAACACAGCCCAGAGATTACACCGCTAGACTCCTAAGACAGTTGCAGCTCCCCTGCACAGGTATTTACAAATTGCTTTCTGTAATGGTAAACCAGCTCTCTCTCCTCAAGGTAACCATTCTGATGGTCTAGAATTACTTGGATACTGAATATTATGACGTTACTGGCTTCAAAAATGTTGTAGGTATTAGTGATATCAAAGCTTTTACGTGTCACAGCACTTTGGTTAAATTGGGTAAATGTAAAATTTATTTACACAGAACTTCATTTTTCTTGGCTCAGACCTTGGGCCTTCGCCACTCATGTGGTAGGCGGCAGCTGCTCCACAGGCTTCTTCAATCAGTGTGATACAACATAGAGCATGTTAATTTCCACCAAAAACATTTAATTCTTAACATCTTGCTTTGAATATCTAATTAAACTCAAAATGTGAACTAATATTTTCACATAGAAGCCTAAGTATGAGATGCATGATCTACCTTATTATACTAAAGTAAGCTTGCCAGTTAACTTATAGTTAACTCTGAAGAATAAAAAGCAGATTATCTATCTCTCCTCTGACAATAATACAGAAACAACACAATTGCATCAGGAGGTCCCACAAGAGATTAGTTAACAATTTTGTTCTTGTTTCTAACATTTTTTTTTTTTTGCAGTTTTTGGCCGGCCTTCGGTATATGGGGCTGACGCCCTACTCCTTGAGCCACAGGCGCCACCCTCTAACACTCTTTGCATGCTACATTTTTAGTAGCAAGATAGGTTCTAAATATTTGCTAAGTATTTGTTCTTTTATTTTGCATCTTTAAGACATGACTGCATTCTCAGATATTCCCCAAGTTTGAAAAGTAAGCTATTTTTTTAATGTAAAATTCATATGCTTTACTGTCTAGGAGTATCACCTATAGCCATGGTTTACTAAATACAAGGGACATGGGCCTTGTTTTGGCTTTACTGATAAACAGCTGATAGATCTTGGAAAGCGGAGCCTCCACTCAGTAAAATGAGTGGGCTGGACCACAATCTCACATCTCCATTTTTCTGTATGACCATTTTAACATTTTTCTTTTTGTCTTTAAAGTTTTGACTTAACTACTATTTTAGGTAAAGATTGTTTTCACATACATTCTGCTCACGAATCATGGTCTGTCCAAGAAAAATCCTTAGCCAACAGGCTCCTCAAATATTGCCCCCTCGCTCTGTTTATGCTTCCCCAAGGAAATGGCTGTTACATATACCGTGGCCTTCTCAGTCTATCTAGTATGACGACTCAATCTCTCTTTCAGACTTCTGACCTCTTTATCTCTTTTTGTGAGGCATTCTATGTAATTTCTTGGGCTAATTTTCTCTTCAAAAATCTAATCTGTTTTTAAAGCTGCCCAGTTTGATCTCAGTGATTTTACATTTCATTTACTCTAATATTTAGTTGGCTTTGTTTTAATATCTTACTCCCTTTTCTCTTCAGATAGGGTCTTTTGTCTCCTCTGTTTCTTATTCCTTCACTTATCTCTTTAATCAAAATGATCAATCACAGCTTAATTATTTATTTTTCAGTGGTACACATAGTAATAGTCATCTTACAATGAATGGTGTCTCTCTTTTTAATGCAGTATTTCAGAATAACCTTATCTCAAGGGTGCTAATGGTTGTTTGTTTCTTCTGTTGTCTTGTATATGGTGGGTCACTCCCACATATACTTGTTGCCTGTTTTTTGTTTAATCATTAGTTCATTTTTAGTAGGGACTGTTTTTTCTCATGATGAATTTCTATACCACAAGAGCATGTAAATTTGGATTGCAAATCCATGCATAACACAATCTTTGGAAGACTGCTCCCCTCTGACATTGTATAGAGCCACTGGAAGGAGAAACATTATTCCTTGTAGAAGGAATTATTAGGTTTTTTCTTTTCATTCAAAGTACAGTCCTTCAACAGTCCTGGTTTAGGTTTGGGTTTCAGTTCCAAATTTCTCCTTTGCAAATGCCCAAGGCCTCAACTGCATGTGCATAGTGTTAATACTTATGCCCCTAGAAATTTCTAATATTAAGGTTTATTTCTTTCTCTTCTCTTTTAGGAAAAGCCCAAAATACAAACACCTATAAGCAATGAATACATTATAGCTTATTTAAAAAACAATACATAGTCTTAGCTTCATAGTCTTAGCTTGCAAGAAACAAAGGAAAATCCCCAGATCCCCAAAACAGCCAAAACCCAAAGCACTACATCACCAGCTCTGTTTTTCCAGCAGTCTTTTTGAAGGTGAAATTCAAATTAGCTCAATTATCACACTGCTGGAATTAAAGATTTCTCTTCCCCATTTAAGATACCATGTTTCTGGGGTTTTCTGTTTGTTTTTTGAGACAGAGTCTCACTATGGCACCCTCGGTAGAGTGCTGTGGCGTCACAGCTCACAGCAAACCTCTAACCCTTGGGCTTAAGCAATTCTCTTGCCTCAGCCTCCCAAGTAGCTGGGACTACTATAGGCGCCTGCCACAACACCTGGCTATTTTTTTGTTGTTGCAGTTGTCATTGTTGTTTAGCTGGCCCGGACTGGGTTCGAACCCCTCAGCCTCGGTGCATGCGGCCAGTGCTGTAACCACTGTGCTACAGGTGCTGAGCCATGTTTCTGGCTTCTTAAGTGACAAGAAGAAAAGTCATTTAGTGATACTTACCTTTTTTAAAATCTTTTTTTGAGACAGAGTCTTACTCTGTCACACCGAGTATTGTGGTATCATAGCTCACAGCAACCTCAAACTCCTTGGCTCAAGAGATCCTCTTGCCTGAGTTTTTCTGTTTTTAATAGAGATGGGGTCTCACTCTGGCTCAGGCTGGTCTTGAAGTACTGAACTCAGGCCATCTACCTGCCTTGCCCTCTCAGAATGCTAGGATTACAGGCATGAGCCACTGCACTTAGCCAATAATATTTTATATTAATAAAATACCTCTCTTTTCAATCACTGCTAGTTAGAACATATATGTTAAGAAACAGATAATAAATTTAGATGATACCACATCAAAGTCACATGTCTTACTAAAATTCTTTTAAATTTTCACTTGAAATGATATCTGCATTATACAACCTTTTTTTTTTTGAGACAGAGTCTCACTGTCGCCCTCAGTAAAGTGCCGTAGCAACTCAAACTCCAGGGCTTAAGTGATCTCTTGCGTCAGCCTCCCAAGTAGCTGGGACTATAGGTGCCAGCCACATGCCTGACTATCTTTTCGTTGCAGTTGTCACTGTTGTTTAGCAGGCCCAGGCCAGGCTTGAACCCGCCAGCCTCAGTGTACGTGGCTGGTGCCCTACTCACTGAGCTACAGGCGCTGAGCCTGCACTGTACAACCTTTAATTTAGTGTAAAGTGGTTTCTTACTCTGTTAGTAACTTTAAGAA